GCGTCGCTGGTAACCGAGGCCCAGAGCTTCTCGGCTAACACACAGGACCCTGCCGTGATGAGTTGTCCTAGGTGTCTTTACATAGGACCGAAATGGTAGAACCACCCATGGAGGTGGGTCAGGGAGTACTGAAAGGCACCAGGGTTTGCGTTGCAAATGTCTTGCTCTCAGAAGTCCCTCTATGGTCTCCCATCCTTGAGACAGAAAAAGCTGCAGGATGTCTATGAGTGGGCTCCTCCATTTCAGGCTTCTCCAGGTGACCAGGAACACTGACTTAAAGCAATAGACAGTGCCCATTAACTGACTCAATTCTCCTGCAGGGTAAGGTGATGGAAACAGAGAGGTTATCAATCCCAGAATGTAAGCACGTAGAATCACAATCTCATGCATTTTATATATGGAGAGTCACACTGTCAAATGATGTGTTGTGTGTGTATCTCCATGTGTACATGTGACTATATATAAAGTAAGCACTGAAAACACCAGCTAAATGATGAAAACACACCTAACATGTTTTTGAATGTTTGGCAATTATAGGGAGAAAAACATGTAATTAAAAAGTTTAATGAGGAAATAGTTATAGAGATATTAATCTTAGGAGTTTATTTTTTTTTAAAGAAATGTATAGTTAAGGTTTGGTTGCTTAACATCTTCTACCTGAAGTGTTTCTTAGCAATTTAATTTTTGACTAATAGTTTGGAAAATGTCCTAGTTATCATAGTTATGTACTTCATTGTACTCACCTAGTGATTCCTGAGGTAAGGGGAAGCCCTTTAGATGTAGTAGATATGCAATAAGTTGATTAAATAAATGACTAATATCTGAATAAGAATTAGCAAGCAGTAAGTCACGATGGTTTATTATTTCATTCATTCATTCACTCATTTACTTACTTCACAAAACAAACTGTTATACATCTGGAACAGACATTGGGAATATAGCAGTGGATCAGACAAAGTCTTTCCTCTTAAGGACCATATTCTACCCAACAAAGAAATGGCAACTGAACTAAACAGAACTTTTTCAAAGAAAGAAGTCCAAACGGCTAAAAAACACATGAAAAAATGTTCACTATCCCTGACCATAAAGGAAATGCAAATCAAAACCACACTAAGATTCTACCTCACCCATGTTAGAATTTCTACCATCAAAAACATCACCAACAACAAATGTTGGTGAGGATGCAGGGGAAAGGAACCCTCATACACTACTGGTGCGAATGTAAGCTAGTACACTCACTTTGGAAAACAATATGGAGGCTTCTTAAAAACTAAACATAGATCTGCCGTATGATCCAGCAATGCCACTTCGGGGATATACCTGAAGGAATACGACTCAGCTTATTACAAAGGCACCTGCACACCCATGTTTATTGCAGCACTATTCACAATAGCCAACCTATGGAAACAGCCAGATGCCCCACTACCGATGAATGGATTAAGAAAATGTGGTATTTATATACAATGGAATTTTACTCAGCCACAAAGAAGCATGAAATTTTGTCATTTACAGATAAATGGATGAAACTGAAGAACATCATCTTAAGTGAAGTTAGTCAGGTTCAGAAGGTCAAAAATTGCATGTTCTTCCTCATATGTGGATTATAGACCCAACAAATGCAGTATTGGATGCAATCCCACTAAGGGATACCATGCATGGAAGGGATAGGGCAAAAGAAGGAAAACAAAAACTTGAATATGGCTAATATGCTCACTGTATAGGAACAAATATAGTAATCTTAAACTCACCAAGGCCACTGTGGGAAGGGGACTAGGGAGTAAAGAAGAGATCTGGTTGTGGTGAGCCAATTTAGGTTGTAATACATATATGTATGGAAACAACACAAGGACTCTCCCTATATAGCTATCTTTATCTCAAACTAGCAAAACCACCATGTTTTTCTTACTATCTTTTATGTTTTTTCTTCTACAAAATTGGAGAACAGGAGGGCGGAATAGGTTCTGCACAGAGGGGTGTGTGTGTGTATGTGTGCGTGTGTGTGTGTATGTGTGTGTGTGTGTGTGTGACATGGGAGGTGTGGCACAAATAATGTATACACATGTATGTAAATGCAAAAATTATACCTGTAGAAACTGTTCCAGGAATCGGGGGAGAGGGGATGAAAGAGAGCAGAGGAGGGGGTGAATTCAAATATGATACGTTTGATACATTGTAAGAACTTTTGCAAATACTCCAGTGTACCCCCTCCCAGCACAACAATAATGATAATTAAATAACAGATCATATCCCAAAAGGGAGGAAAGAACACAGGCAAGTCAACACAAGACTACGCGGTGGAAGAAGGCTCTGATGTTGTGAAATGAACCAGGGAGAGCTGGAGTCAGGGAGGAGGGGTCCTGGCAGGAGCTGTAGAGAGACTTAAACTTGGCCCACAGCACATTGCTGAAGCCCAGAGAGGGCAGGAGAGAAATGTCAAACACGTGCAACTGCCCTCTGACCTGCTTTGATGTCTCCCCTAGATGAACACAATGTACAAGCCGAAGAGTCCCTGCCAGGAAGATGCAGTCCCTGGAGCAGAAGTATGGTGACAGGCATGAGGCTGGGAAACAAATGGCGAATAACAAAACATACAGCGGTATCATTAGAAAACTTTTATCACTTCTGGTTCCCTTGAGGGCAGGCACTGAGTTGGATTTGCCTTTCTTTCTCCCACAGGACGTAGCAAACACAGAGATTGGCAAAAAGTAAATGTTCGTTAATTTAATTGCTCTTGGAGGGCTGGCTCTGCTCATCCAAATGAGTGCGCTTTGGGCATCAGCATCCGCTCCTGGAGAGTCTGGATCTTCACGCTCCCCTGGGTCACACAGTGCCGAGTTCACCAGGGTATTCCAGCAGCCGGTTTGGTGCATGGTTGGCTGTCACACAAGGTACACAGTTTCCTTTGCTACCCACACAGACTTGAGATAAAATAGAACACCTCTCAACTTGGAACTCCTCAATAAATGGGGAGATTATGTGAAGGTTAGGGAGGAGACTTGGGGGACAGACTAAGATTATTTTAGTTTCTTTACCTCAGGCAATCCTTTACAGTGACAAAGAACAGCTGCATATATCTCCTCTTTTACATTCTAACAATGTAAAAGAGAATGGTGTTCTCTTATTCCCAAACTATCATATATTGGGAACTTTCTTCTATAGAAGGATTAGAGGAATTAATCACAGATGTATACTTTATACCAGCCTTGTTCTACAAGGTATAAAAATCAAGAACAGTTTAGAGATCTGGAATGGGAGTGGTGAGGAAGGCAATTGTTGATCTTAGATGAGTTTCCTTGGTTTGCAGAAAGTAGATTTGTGTAAACTCTGAAGGCTTACAGAATACATTTAAGGCATGCATTAAACCTGTAAGAGCACTGTTGAGAAAACGCTACTAGAGTTGTCTGGATTTGTTCTTCAGAAGGGAAAAGACAAGGTGTTATGGAGGAATTGAATGCATACCTTACAAACCAGGAAAGACAGAGGCGACCTCTGTCATGGTGTGTGCAGAGGAGTATATTTGGACTTGGGAGTTTGGGAAGCTCTTAGTTCCTTTGGTAACTAAAGGGGACAAGGAGAAACTTGTTATCACAGAGACAGTGCTCCTCTGGGCTCACCTGAAAACTTTCCCCCAACTCCTTTGCGCCTTAGTAAGGTCATATGATTAATTCTGGTCAAAGCAATGTGGTAGAATTGATGTAGACCATTTATATGCCAGACTCAGCAAAAACAGATCCTGGTATATTTTCCTCTTTAATTAAGAGTAAAAACAATTCCCCAAGATGGAAGGAGACAGAATTCCAAAGTGTAGAGCCTAAGTGAAAGCCTACATGTGAACTCAAAGCAAAAACAGCCAGATAAAAGGGATAAGACTGGGAGGACTGTGGTTCAAGGCCAATCCCAGGCACAAACTTGAGACCCTATCCAAAAAATAACTAAGGCAAAAAAGGACTAGGGGCGGGGCTCAAGTGGTAGAGTGCCTACCTTGCAAGGGCAAGGCCCTGAGTTCACACCACCGTACTGCCAAAGGTACAAGTCTTCCATTCATATTACAGGACACGACCTTCTTTAGGACATGTTGCAATGGTGGGGAGGAGGGTGAAGTGGAGAAAAATGTTTGCAACTTTAATCAATGTCTTGCTTCTTTCTTTTTTTCTCTTCTGTGTTTGAAGATTTCATTCAGTTCTTTCACATGATTGAATATCAAGGCAAAATTGGGATGATGGTCAAATTGTATTTATAAGGCACTTCTTTGATACAGTTAGGGAAAGGACATGTGTAAGATTTTTATGTTAATTAGAGGCTGCTGCATCTATCCGTAGGTTTGGGAGATGTGTCTTCTCGTCCTCACCTTATGGTGTGAAATTGGATGGAAGATTGGTGTTGGTATGAGGAGTAATACAGCTACACCTAAATCAACCTATGATCATGGCTAGAAAGTAAAATTAAGAGCTGACTGAGGTCTTTCTGAGGACCATGGTTGGAAATCCCTTTTCCTTCAAGGCTTTGTTCTCGTTCCTGAAACAGCCCCCTGATGCACTTCCATACCACTCTGATGAGAGGAGAGCCTAGAGGTGGATTTGAGTGCTCTTCAGTCCCTAGTCTGCCTCCAAACTTATCTAATATAGTGTGTGCAACACAGCTTGATACACGGTATGGTGCCTTGGGTGTAACTAGTGTCGATAAATAACCTTATGTGTCATGAACTGGAAACATGGACTCATGTGTGAAGGAGAGAGAGAGTGCAAAACTGCAGGGAAGCTTGGAGTTATGCGGGGATTCAGAGAAAGTTCAGAGTCTCTGGGCCCCAACTGGTATGCTCAGAAGTAGGAACATGGCACCAGCTGGCTTCTGTTTGTGGCCAGTCTAGTTTCCTAATGTGGTTCCAGGGCTCAAAGAAGTTTAAGAAAGGTATTGCTGCCACTTGGAATTCTTGAGCTGTGACTAAGATGACCTCCTCTAAATGTTACTGTTTAAGAACTCAAGTAGCTGAGCACCTTGCGTTGATTATATTTCATTTGCTCATTCGGAGAGGTGAGGCAGAAGAGAAAGGGTGTGAGGATTTGTCTGTATAGCAATGACAAAAGTTATTTTCCTGCAAACGATGATGTACCTGAAGCTGTTAGGCCAGCTATGATCAGGGTAGAAATGAGACTAGTAAAAACACTCAATCTGTGACTTCTGAATGCTCAAGGAGGAGTAAGGCCAGAGTTAGATATTTGTCTAAGTTACTAAGCAAGACACTGTTTTTTGGAGGGGGGTTGGCACTTGGGCTTGAACTCAGCTTTGCACTTGCTAAGCAGGCACTTACTTCTTGAGCAACTCCTCCTGCCCTTTTTACCTTGATTATTTTAGAGATAGGGTCTCACCTTTTGCCCAGGCTGGACCACGATTCCCCTATTCTATGCTTCCTGCCATAGCTGTGATGACAGTGACTCCCAGCTTTTTCCCACTGAGATTAGGTCTTGTAAACTTATTTTTGTATGTGAGCTGGCCTCTAACTGAGATCCTCCCAATCGTAGCTTCTCAAGTAGCATTACAGCATTACAGGTGTGAGCACCAGCACTCAGCTGCAAGTCACTGTTATGTTTCATGCAGTTTTCTTTTACCAGTCTTCAGGCTTCTGAAACATTTTTTCAATTATTTCCTTTTGCTGTTTTTTTTTTAGGTAAATAATAATGACAACTAAATAGAGAAAAAATAAACAAGCACCCCACTCACAGAAATAATACTTCCAAAATTTCTACGTTCGATCATTGATTAAGCTTTTATTTGATGAATATTTATTAATAGTGATGATAACAAAATAACACTGCATACATTTTAGTCTGTTGTTCCTCATATAGTACCAGAATGTTTTAAGCAAAGTAATTTTCTGCCAAATTTTGTTGAATAGATAAAAAGATTTTGAGGAGCATCCAAAGTAAATATTTTATTTCAAATTCCCTGAGAGGGAAGGTTAAAGTGGTTTTTACTCTCTGAGTGTGCTGTAGGGTAAATCTTTAATATTGTACAGTCTTTAGTTCTAATAATTACCCATGAAGGAGTGTTCAGGAAATTATGCTATAGTTTTTATTGAAATGAGAAGAGATACTGAAACAAATTCCTCTTAATGCTGCCTTGTGCCACAGAACATACCCATCAGTGACGGGAGGGGGACCAAGATCTCCCAGAGATTTCAAAAATTCATCTTGGTTTTAACTAAAGGAAAAATAAGTTAATGAAGTCCTTTTAGTTTCCTTTATTTAGGAACTTGGATGAATTCTGAAGACACTTGGCCAGGATAACTAGCAAAAAATAAATGACCTTTTAACACATATTTTCAAGTAACCTCTAGTTATGTACATGTTTGCAAAATACACTTACTATAGTTGCTGCTCTTCCTTAAATCATAGAACCATCTGGTACTCACTTCCTTATTACTTCAATTTCACGTCCCCACTCATAACAGTCCACTACCATCTGACCGTAACACAGAACTATATTAATCAGTAATCCTTCAATTTGCAACCATTCTGACACCACAGTAAGTAAAAATAAAAGTCATTCAAAGCACTAAAAGCAATTAGTGCAGGGTGGATCATAACTCAGTCCCAAAAACCTAACCAAAAGTGGGTAATCTACATTAAAGTCTGGCTTCCTGGAGACTTTCTTATCAGATTTCTGGCCCATTTAGAAAAAAGAGAGCTTTAGTTTTATTGTTTTGACTGCTGGGTAACATCTGTTTCTCTGATATATTGAATCGATGCATTTATTTAATCACAGGACTCAGACATTACAAAAATAACAGGTATTTTTCTTTCAGAAAAATAAAAGAAGTATACCGTTGGATATACTAAGACTTGGAGTGCAATTGAATTTAACTAAGCTGAAACGATTACAAATCACAGGAAACTTTCAGTTGGAAAGTGTGGAGAAGCTGATATATTTTCTAGTTGCTTTCAGAGTGGGATTAAAGATTGTCTCAGATGCACAGGGAAGGTGACATGCGTTATTTAATTTGATTTGTGCCTTTCTGTTGGCAGTGCAAGGTGTTCCAGGATTCAAAACTTTCACCGACCCTTTTGTTGCACACTCCTTACCAATGTGTTATGTCAGAATTTCTAGCCTTCCAAACCCATACTGTTGAAATAGATAAAACAACAATGCACCCTGGAGCCTGGCAAGCCCAGATACATCTTCAGATAAACAATGCAGAAAACAGTTTAATTTTAAAGTTTGACATGCTTTATCTAGCTCTAAAATATCTCCAGTTTTCATTCTAGAAAGCCACTGCCAGGTTTTTGTACAACCTGTTCTGTCAAGATGAAGAATTCTCTAGTTTCAGTATCTCTCCTCATTTTTCTAACATAAAATGTTACAATTGATTGGTTTTACTTCATTTAAAGACCTAGGTCTTCCTCTTCACACACCACCTTTAAGACCTCAGTGGGAAACACATCTTTTAGTGCACATCAAAGAATTGCATCTATTGTGCCTATTTATGGCATTTAAGCATTTTTGTCCCAAAATTAACAACATACTAGACTTTTCAGTGTATGGGTGTGCGCATATACCAAACTAAAGATCTTACAGTCACTCTCACGTAGGCTTTGTAAGTTGCGCCAAAATGATTGAGTAACGATGAAAAATTTGTCTCACCAGTGCAGCTATATATATAGGTTGTATCATTGGTAAATAAAGAGCTCAGTGATTTTACTTGCTCCATGAACTACTCTCTCGCAGAGCTGTATTTCCCAGCCTGGGCAGACGTGGAATCAAAGCAGCAGGTGCTCTCGATCTGCTCTGCACTTGGTGAAATTCCCCGTTCTCTGTGTGGGGTGAGGAAACAGTCCAGCATTTTCATACTAATAATATCTTATTCTTAATTCGCAGTGTTTATACCTTTGTACCTGAGTGTTGCCATTAAGCACCCATAGAGGGGCAATGATATAAAATTGTTCCACAAAGTGTATATTTGAACCACTTTTCACAGTTGGAATAAAATACAGTCATCCTTTGGTATCTCCAGGTACTAGGACACCAGTAACCATGGACACTCAAGTTTCTTACATGAAATGGTGTAGTATTTGCATACAGCCTACTCAGATTCTCCTGTATGCCTGAATACTTACAATACCTCATGCAATGGAGTGGTGTGTAAATGGTGCTATGCAGTATTGTTTAGGGAATGACAAAAATAGTCTGTACCTGTTCAGTACAGATGCAATTTCTTGCAAATATTTTCATTCATGGTTAGTTGAATCTGCAGATATAGAACCCACAGATAAGGAGGGTTGACTGTATTTTAATGTAAATATTGTAACTCTAGCAATAACCTATCTACAAAAGTGGGAGAGGATGAGATTAATGAAAAGCGAGTTATATTTCCATATAGCTCATGTTTAACTTTTAAAAATTTATTCTCAAGATGCAATTGCACATAACCCATAATTGATAAGCCACTTCCTCTCCAAAACAAATACACTATCAAAGAGTAAAGAGATAAATTATAAGAAAGGAAAATATGTACCATTTACTACAATCATTCCTGTTCTCTCAAACTCGGCAAATATGTAAGACAAATGATAAATGATACACTTTGATTTGCAAAGCTCATTTGGAGTTGAGGTTCACAAAAACAGAACTGAATGGGCCTATACTATTTTAAGAGTTATATGTGAAATATGCGTCAGATTTTTAATGAAGAAATCAGGAGGATAAATAAGGAATGAGAGACAAAGGTATTCACCAACAGGAGAATCCCTTCCTTCATCTAGCAATTGTCAAATCCAAGAATTCACCATCTTTCCTTCATTTTCATTATATGAAGAGTGGGGAAAGTACAATTACTGTTGCTTGCTGTTCAGTCTTCAGGTCAAGCTTTGTGCTTGTGATCTTTAAGAACACCAGTTTATTTGGTGATGTTCCCAGAGTGATGTTACAGGCGACTGTTGCTTGTGGAAATGTTGGTGTTAGGCCAAGACAAGTCTCCGGGGATACGAGGGAGAAAGCGCAAATACTTAAAAAAGAAACAGCAAAATGGTTTGAATTTGCACTGTACATTAAATGCCTAGTGTCAGTTCCTTCTTTGAAGGTAGGATCTTATGATAGGAAATATACCGGGGGCCTGAGGCAGGGAGGACTAGGGAAATCGGTGCCAACTCAAAGGAGTCACTTTGTCAGTCCTTGGGTGGAAGCTCTGTTCCTTTTGGGTCAGCTCTTCTTTAAGCTTTTATGACTTTGTTGGGAGATGTCTTTAAAAATCATTCTTTCAGTCAAGCATAGGAAAAAAGATCGTGTTGAAATACAGAATTGAATCTTTATAGATATAGACCATTTCCATATGAAAATAAAACCTATAAATGAGCACTTTTAACTTCTTTAAAGAAAAAAAGAGAGAGGAAGATAAACTTTGGAACACGAAGTTGCTTACTCCCATAAGCTTCACGTGTTCTTAAATGCGGAATACAAAAAGATCTCAAGTGTGGGTGCGACCGCTGGCCACTCAGGAAACCCGGCCTGCAACGACTTCCGTGTGCCACCCAGTGGCCGACGAACTAGTGGCTTCTTTTGTTGGCTGTATTTTGATTTCAAGAAGAGAGAAAATAGTAAAAAGTCAGAGGTAGATTATGCCATACCAAGACCAGCAACCCCCCCAGACCTGCGCCTGGGTACACTTTCAAGTCCAGTCGCTGTAGTAAATGTGCCATATTTTCCTTCCGGCTCCTCGGACTCTACCCCCGGGGGCCCGCACCGCCCTGCGCTCAGATGCTGACGGGCACGGAGGACACCGAGCTGGCCCGGGACTCGCGCGTCACGCCCACGGGCATGGCCAGCGAGCAGCAGGACACGCCCACGGTGGCCTCGGGCAGCTCGTCGTCCTCGGTCCACTCGTTGAGCTCGGGGTTGAAGCACTGGATGCACTTCTTGTACTTCTTCTCGCCCTCGTTCCAGCCGCCCACCAGGTAGGCGCGGCCGTGCAGCGCGGAGGCGCCCGCGGTGCTCACGCCCACGGGCAGCGGCGCCGCGCGGCTCCACTGGCAGCCCGCGGGGCTGTAGCTCTCCACGCCCAGCACGTCCACGCGCTCCCCGCGCGGCCCCAGCTGGCTGCCCCCCATCACGTACACCCTGTCGCCCAGCGTGACAGCGCAGTGCCAGCCTCGCGGCGTGCTCAGCCCCGGCAGCTCCTGCCACGCGTCGCTGGCCGGGTCATAGGCGCACACGGAGCGCGAGTACGCGTGGCCGATGTAGCCGCCGGTCACCAGCACGCGGCCGTCGGTCACCGCGCTGGCGTGGCAGCAGCGGGCCACCTCCATGGGCGCCTTGGGTTGCCACTGGTTGGTGGAGGGCACGTAGCACTCCACGGAGGCCAGGCTGCCCTCCGCGTTGCGGCCGCCCACCGCGTACAGGAGCCCGTTGAACACGCTCAGGCTGAAGTGCGTGCGCCTCTGGTTCATGCTGCCCAGGTGGATCCAGGTGTTGAAGCGGGGATCGTACCTGGAAGTGGCAGAGAAGTGTGACAGCGTTGTCCAGGCCCGAAGCTGGGGAACCTGGGTTACCCTGCAAACCATCATGTGGGAGTCTTGACACTACTTCCCCCGTAGGGAAGTGAGGGACCCAAGTGTCTCATCCAGAGGCTGGGGTATTTTTTTCTTTTTTTCAGTCAGTCAGTAAAGGTGGGTGACAAAGCAGGCACTGGTGACACCCTCACAACCACTTACATGACCACTTCCTCTATCTAGTGACCTGGAAGAGCCCACTCAGAGCGACCCTTCCGTTCCCTTTACTTGTAAACAATATCCATCCTTGTTGGGATATTGAGTGGCATTTATGAGATGGGACAGGTGGAAGGTGTGCATCAGAAGAGGGGACCCCCCACAGCACTAAAGTCAATTCTACCTGTCTTCATCACTAGCTCAGTCTTGCTGTTTAAGACAGGGAATTTCTCCATTCCTCACCTACCCTTATCCCTTGGTCCACCTAGCTTGGCCATTCATCACAACAGCAAAGCCAAGCCACTGAACCAAGTCTTCCTCTTCTGTTAGAATGAGAATGCGTGTCTAAAAGCATCAGTAAGGCTTACCTTTTTATACTTTTCAATTTTCTGCCACTGATAGGTAGGAAAACATTTTTAGTTTATAGGGATTTGCTGTTTAGTGCTCAGTACTATAGTTTATAGGCACTGAAATTTATACTGAAAAACTGACTTGAGTACTAGCAGGAAGGAAATCATGGTAAACTGATGATTGCTTGTTTCCAGAGTGCAGAAGTTTGTAAGCATAGAATTCACTCTTTATCGTTCATCTTTGTGCCATTTAGCACCCAGATTAAAACTTATACTTAGGTTTTTAACTATACTTAGTTAGAAATTTAAGACTAGGGCTGAGGATGCAACTTAAAGGTAGAGTGCTTGCTTAACATGTGTGAGGTCCTGGGTTCAGTCTCTAACACCACAAAGCGGAAAAAAAAAAAGACTAAAAGTCAATTGTCAGGATTCCGGTAAATGGCGTATACACACATGTAATGAAATAATAAAGAGTATCTTTCATGAAATAATATATAAATATCTAGATGTTGTTTAGTAGTTATGTCTCGCTTTATAGTACCATCACGGTATAAGCGCAACTTTGTAAACATTTCATCTGTATGGAAGTTTAATTTTTTGTCATAACTTTACAAAAATATTATGGCCCTTGAGTTCCATTTTGAAGGGCTCATTTTGTATTTTGTTCTTTGTGCATATACCAAAAATTACATTTTCAATGTTTTTTACTCTTCCGTCACATTTTAATAATCTCCTCTGATTTCCCAGTTATGCACCAGACATTTGTCAGTAGCAATGACTTAAACTAAATTTTTTATTATTTTATTATTTCTTATCACTTAGTGTTAAAAATAAATTTGTCCCTAATTTGTCTCAAAAAGCCAGTGTGGTGTGAAAAGTACCTTACTATAAATGAAGAAATATGAATTTCTATCGGTGTATGACTTCTCTGTATACCAGGTTTTCCATATCAAAAAAATCAGAATAATTTTATCTTCTCTGCCCACCTCACAGGCTTGTTTCAGAAATCTAGAGTACACAGTATATTTGAATGCATTTTGTATAAAGTGCTGTGCAGATATAAAGTGGCATAATAATTATTATTATTACTGAGCCAATGAACTGAGCCAAGAGGCATGATTAATTTACTTCTCTGTCAAGGCAATTTCCCCACAATATCAAACCATTTCAGTTCCCAACAAAAGATCAAGTACCTGCAGAAATTGCTGACTGCATGCTTGGCTTGATTTCTTGCATCATTCTGGTCTTCACCACCCGCTACATAAAGAAATCCATCCATCACAGCTGCACACTGATTGAAACTCTTGGCTGGCATTTCTGTAAGCTTGCTCCATCCATTTTCAGGGTCTCTATACAAAATGTCTCTACTAAGGGACTTCTCGGTAAGGCCTGGGCGTCCCCCAACAGTGACAAGGACTCGGTAGCCTCCTCGGATTCTCGTTCGCCTAGACTGCAGTGTGTTTTGATGATACGGAAGTAAGTGATAGTTCATAGCGTCCACAAGGAGCTTGTGACAATCGGCATCTTGCATCATTCTCGGTACAGATTGAACATAATTGACCAGATCTTGTGCAGAGATGGTACCGAAGCGAATATTGCTGAGAAGATCGGCAGCATATTTCACTCTCTTTTGGTCAAATTCTAACCATTTCATTGCAATCTGGAATGCTACTAACTCAGAAGGCAGCTGTAGGTCGTCGTCGATCAGAAGCTCATTGATTTGTTCAAAGGTAAGTTTCATAAATTGATCTGATTCTGCAAATTCGATGAAGTTATCCCTGATGAACTTCTGGGCTGCTGCTTTGGCGTTGTTCATGGAGTATGTTTCAGCAATGTTAACAACATACATGCAGTTCTCAACTCTAAGCTCCCGGACCAGAAAATCACTGCACATCTTCACAAGAGTGTCAATCTGGAGACACACAGCAGCAGACACAATGCTTCCGATTGTGTACAAGGAAAGGGTCAGCTTTCCGGTGTAGGCATATGCAATGACGGTGGCCAGGCCTAGCGGGGAGATATCATTGAGATCCACTCTTTGAGTTGATGGGTCCTTTTTGAGGATGTTGTAAAAGTACTCACTGCATGAGGCCATCACTGACTTATGAACATCAAAGGATTTGGTTTTGGTACCAATGACTAAGTCACATAGAAAGTTCTCTTGTCTCATCTTACTTAAACCTTCCAAGAGATTGGGGCCGTAAGAAGCATCTGTTAATTCAGAAGAAATGCAGGTGAGGCCATTGCCGCTGTCCAGGAGCCCATTCAAAGCATTCAGTTTGTTTAAGGGGCTGTCTTCTACAATTATAGTCATCTCGTTGATTTCTGCTTTGTTCTTTTTGACAGACTTCTTTTTGGGTGCCATGTTGGCCAACACACTGTCACAGGCAAGGGCTTGCTAAAAAAAGAAAAGAAAAGAAAGGAGTTCGTTTTATTTTAACTGTGCTTTGAACTTTGAAATACTACCTTGAGAAACTTTTTCGTAAGAGTGTTATAATGACTATAAGGCAGATTAAGCCTCAAAAAATGCATTTAAGGACTTTAACCTAGATGCACATTTTGACAGTTTACGTCAGCAACGACATTGAGGAGGATTCTAGAGGAATTTATACCATGAAGTGAGATCTCTCAGCAGGTGTATGGCCAGGTGATTGTTTTACAGCAGAAATGAACAGTGCTTCTCTGGTTCCACTGTACAGCAAATATACAACCGTACTTAAACATCACTTGAACGGCTTAGTTTACTCTCACCAGAAAGTAAATATTACCACTTTGAAGGTTTTCCTTAATACAAAGACTAAAATTTAGGCATTCATGCAAGATTTAGAAATGTGGAAAGATGATTTCATTCACAGCAGCAATGAAATGAAATGAGTGTTTTAAGAGATACTTAACTAGAGTTTAGTGAGCTCCATATGGTAAGGACTTAAGAAAAGAGATGCTCCATCTTATCACCCTCTGTTTCTATCCATGCAGAGAGAACAGCAGGTAGGCAGGAATCATTGCCAGGTTTTTTCTTTTTTTATTTAGTTTAAATTGTCACATTCACGTTTCTCTCTCTTTAACAGACTGTACCACATGGATCCTTTCTCATCGTTTTTTTGCAGGCAGTTTTCAAAATTGCAAATCTCCCAAAAGGTAGCTTCACCTTGTGAAATAGATTAGGAACCCATCATCATTTTAGTGTTCCCATGCACTTGACTTATGTGTTGAGTGTGTCTCTTTGTTGCATTGTCTGGGGGAAAAACTTTTTTTAAAAAAAAGTAAAATATTTTGTTCAGTAAGCAGTTATTGGATACCTTCAGCTGCAAGGCAGCAGTCTTCTGGGGATGATAAGACAGCAAAAAAAATGTAATTTATGCCAGAGAGACAAGACATGGCAAATCCAAAGTGATGACAGGGGAGCTCTGTAAGCATAGCTAAGTAAATTCTGTGGAGGAAGAGCCCTGTCTGTGTTTCTGGAAGAACCCGTGTGATTTTTTATTTATGCAGGAACAAGACTTATAAATACTCCCTGCTCTTGAGGAAATCCTGAATTTGAGGAGTGATTTGAAGGCTTTAGACTGAAAGGCTAAATATTCTTTTAATCCATTATTAAAAGATAGTTTTGTTGGTGGTACACAGTGGGTATTTACAATATTAATAACTGATAAAAGACAGCACCTGCTAGCCAGAATGCACTCAGGACACAGTGCTGGAGCTGAGTCCCACAGAATTCTCTGAGGGGCCTTGTGCAATTCTCCAGTTTCTGGACCCCAGAGAGGCCCAGAGAGTCTTAGGAGAGGGCTGGAAGGGTAGGAGGGTGGGACACTGGCCTGTTGGGTTTTTACAATTCCGTTTGTTTAATATAAACAACTTATTTGCAGAGAACTCTCAGTATTGTAACATAGCCATATGCTGGAGCTGTGGAGGAAGAGGTTCAGAAGGGAATTCCCAACCAGGGAGTGGCCGGTGGACTTTAGGAGGCATAATAACTAATTTCCAAATTTAAATCTTCCTTTTCTACACTGTTAATCTTTATGTCATCCTTAAATGATTTCTCCTCAAGTATCCTAATAAAGTTTAATAAATTAGCAATTAGTTTATTCTGCCTTTAGAATATCAAATCAAGAGCACAATTATAAGGTAACTGTAAGTAGGAGCTGGGGTGGAGATGGGAAGATGTAGCAGGAAATACTCACGGACCCTAGGAATCATACAAAGGAGGATGATTTTGTAGGGAAGTCAACAGTTGGATAAGGAAATCATATAGAATGAATGCCACTTCTACACACATACTTTTTTGGTGACTTTTAGCCTAAGCGCACAGAGCAGCGACAACTCTGACAGAAAGTATTTCTGCTTTGAAGAGCCACTAGAAAGTGAGGGGGGACTTCTGGAAAAGATTCAGAAAGAAGAGGCCCAGTAGAGACCTGAATCTTCTAGCACATCCTAGATGGCAAACAGCTGGAAGAATCATATAGATTTCTCCCTACGGTTCTTTAAAATAAATATGACCCGCCAAAGCAAAACTGATAACATGGTCTTGTGACGTTTATACTTACGTGGGTGTAGTACATATGACAGCATAAGGGATGGGGTGACAGTTGTAAAATAACCCAACCAGTTGCAAGCTTTTTTGTTTTTTGTTTCTTGCTGTGATGGAACTCTCATGCATGACAAATGCTTTACCACTAGACACATCCCAGCCTGGTTTTCCTATTGTATGCGAAGCAGTACATACAAAATTAACTTACGCACCCTGTGAAAATTTAACTTTGCATATTGTAATTTTTAGAGTAATGTCCTATAGAAATACAACCTGAGATACATATATATTTAAAAATTTTTAGTAGCCACACTACAAAGATAAAAAGGAGAAGGTAAAATAATTTTAGTAATATATTTTACTCAACTTAATATATCCAAAATGCTATCATTTCTATACATAATTGCTATAAAATTACCAATTACACATTTTTCACGTGAAATCTTCAAAATCCAGGATGCATTTTATACTTACAGTACATCTCATTTTGGATTAACCACATTGCAAGTGCTCAGTAGACACTTGCAGTGACTTATGACTATTGTGTTGACAGCACAGCCCTACAGCAACCACTTAAAATGCAAAGGATAGCTAAAGAGTACATAGAAGAATTTAAATGGAACTCAAACAGGACTGAAAAGGTGGAACAGAGAGGTAGAAATTGGGGAAGACAACCAGAAACAATTTAATGATTAACCTGAATCCAACCATATTAATTATATCAAATGTTAATGGACAAAGAATTCTAATTAAAAGACAGATTACTGGAATGGATAAGACAAACAAGATAAAAATATATGCTACCCACAAGAGATTCTCTATAAATATAAGGACACAGATAAATAGAAAATAAATGGATAGAAAAAATTTTCCATGAACATAATAAGCATAAGAAGGCTTGGCTGGGCGCCGTGACTCACGCCTGTAACCCTAGCTACTCAGGAGGCAGAGATCAGGAGGATTGCAGTTCAAAGCCAACCCAGGAAAATAGTTCATGAGACCCTATCTCGAAAAACCCTTCACAAAAAAGGGCTTGTGGAGTTGTAGGCCCTGAGTTCAAGCCCCAGTACCACAAAATAAATAAAGAAAGAAATAAAGAAGTCTCTAGCCTCTTGTGGCTATATTAGTAGCAGATAAAGTGCACTTCAAGAAAACATTTTACCAGTGACAGAGGGAATTTCAAAATGATTCAAAGATTAGCACCATGTGGTAACAATCCTAAACATGTAGATGCCTAAAAACAGAGCTTCAAAATACTCGAGGCAACAAGTGACAAGAACTAGAGAAATAGGCAATTCTACTTGAGAATGTCAACTCTCTCTCAGCAACTGACAGAACAACTAGGCAAAAATTAGTTAACATTGTAGATTATTTGAACAGTATTATTAATCACCTTGACTTAGTTAAACATTACATCAACAACAGAATACAAATTCTTCTGATTTACATGTGGAATACTTGCAAAGTCAGACCCTATGCTTGGCCACAAATTTATGTCTCTCAGCAAATTTAAATGCATTGAAGTCATACAGTGTTATCTGATCACAGGGCAATTAGCTTAGAAATAATAGCAAGAGTCCATCTGGGAAAACCATTTAATTTCAAACATTTGGAAACGAAATAATATACTTCTAAATAACCCATGAGCCAAAGAAGAAATCACAAGGGAAATTAGGCAACATTTCGATCTGAATGAGAATGAAGATGCAACATAAATACCAACTGCAGTACTTCCCTACAGTGTGCCTTTTGGTAGATTTCCTAACATCTCAGTCTCTGTTGACTTACTTCAAAAGTAAAGAACAATGTCTGCCTCTTGGGGTTGTCAGTGAAAGTTTGGTGTGGAAATGTCTGACCGGTGATTAGCAAAAATGGTTGTTTAACATCAAACAATGTCATTTATTAGTAAGCACTTTCAAATGTCTTTTTTATGTTGGCAGTGGGTTTTGAACTCAGAGCCTTCACTTGAGCCACGCCACCAGCCCTACTTCCTGTAGAATAGTTTCTCTGAGAATGAGGCTGGCGTGTTCAATTACAGATTTTTTTTATCTTTATAGGTGTTTTCAGACTGGTTTTTCAAAAAAGGTGTGTGTGCATTTGACATTTGGATTAACAATAGGAGAAGACCCTTCTCCCTGCATCCTCACCATCAATGTTACCTCGGTGTCTTATGGTTGCTTTAATTTGCGTCTCACTATTTGTGAATCTTTAGACGTTTGTTAGGCGTGTGCATTGTCTGCTCATATTCTTGCCCATTTTTCTCCTTTGCTTTCTGTCAGTTATTAAAAGTGTGTACCTTTCATCTGTCATCTAAAATACAATTTTTTTTCCTGAACTAAAAAAAGTGAATGTTTAAGAAAATTGAACCATGTTCATTGAAAGCAAACCATTTTGTTAGCCACGTCTCTAGAATAAAGGTGAAGCAGGTCAGAGAAAGCCACCACTTCACAGAGGAGCTGTCCTGAGGGGCGGGAAGAAAGCAGACAGGTTAAAAAAACGCAGTCACACCGAATGAGAATGACTAAGCGGCAGAGGGAGGCTCCTGGAAGGTGACTATTTCCAAGGGATTTTGAAAATGCCAGGGATAGACATGGAAGCCGTGCAGGCTGAGGAACAGATGTTTTTATTTTCATTAGGATGCCAAGGATAACCCAGGAAGTTCACGAACTTGGAACATTTGGTTACAGGTCAGGTAAGCAAAAACCAGATTCTGTGGTTGAATCCATTTGCCTGGTTTAAGGATTCAAATTAAGAGGAGTATTCTGGTGGGGTGGTAATAGGATGGTCAGCAAGATTGGATAGGGACTGGGTAATGTTTTGGGCCCTGTTGCAGAGAAGACCTGCTCTTGCTTTATGGGGGGTCAAAACCTAGAGGCAGAGAGGGAAGCTTGGAGCAAACCTTCCAGACCCCTTACACAAGGCATGTGACATTAATGTACACACACACACACACACACACACACACACACCTTGATACCTTGTCACTGGGCCCGCCAGCATTTTTCCACATCTATATTTTTTGCGGGGTGCAGTTTTAACTCAGGGATTCCCACTTGCTAGGTAGGCACCCTACTGCTTGAGTCACAACTCCATCCCTTTTTGCTCTGGTTAATTTGGGATAGGGTCTCACTTTTTGCCCAGGCTGGCCTGGACGACACGCCTTCTATTTATGATTGCTACAGTAGCTAAGATGACAGGCATGTGCCGCCAAGTCCAGCTTTTTCTGTTGAGATGAAGTCTTGTGAACTTTTCCTGGAGCTGGCTTTGGAACCACAATCCTCCCAATCTCAGCCTCCCATGTAGCTGGCATGACAGGTGCACACAATTACATCCAGCTATTGGTTGAGATAGGGTTTTTAAAACTTTTTGCCCTGGCTGGCCTTGAACCATGATCCTCTCCCCTTCTGCCTCCCAAGTAGCTGCAATTATAAGTGTGAGCCACCAGAACCTGGCCACATATTTAAATTAAGGATCAGGTAGCTTTAAAGGAAAGTTTTGAATGGGCACCATTACAGTGCATATGAAAGAAGTGGACCAATTTAACTTTCTTTTACTCAGTTGGTCATTGTGCTGGGCTTTGAGTTTGATCGTGTGGGTTAATAGAAGGTGATTGGAAAAGAACCAAATATTTAAAAATGATACTCATGTGAATAAATGAATAATAATAAAAATAAATAAATAAACAAACAAAATAAAAATGATATCC